TATATATGCATAGATATACATATATGCATATATATTCATATATAATAATACAATATATAATACATATTATATATATATACATATGTATTTTTGGTACTGGGGAGTTGAACCAAGGGCCTCCACGCTGAGCTACACCCTTGGCCCTTTGTACTTTTGAGACAAGGTCTTGCAAAGTCATCAATCTGTGGAGTCTGTCTCAGACTTGCAGTCCTTCCACTTCAGATTTCTAGAATTCAGAGATTACAGGAGTGCACCAGCGTGCCCAGTTTAATTTTTGATTTGCATCAACCAAAATGTATGTAATGCAAAATTTTAGTTTGTTAAATTAAAAATTCGAAATAATGTTTAAAACTGGTAACCTAGTTGGATTATGTCTGATGACATGAAGCGATAAACTTCCTTTCCTGATCCAATTGGCAGTAAATATTTGTTAATAATAACTGGCTGGATTTGCAGTGTCAGGCCAAGGAGCAGATGGGATTTAGATATCTAATAGAGCCTGCCACGGCGGGAGTGGGGCGCCTTTTCCAGTTGCTTCTCCTCAGGGAGTTTGGACTGTTAGAACTGCACTTTAGAAGAGCCTGGTTACTGTGTCCATGAATAAGATAAAATGGTGTTTATCCTCTGTGGATCAATACTGTCTTGTTTGAACTTATTGAGTCATTTAGAGACACATCAGGCAATGAAAGCCATTGTGCAACAGTGCTCAGAGTACTGCCCTGCTTTCTAAGGGATGGCAACATTTTAAGAGACAATTACTGAAACAGATTTTTACCACTGACTATGTGATGAAATGAACACATATCAGAGTATATCAGATGGATTTGACAAAAAAGGATGTTGGACTTTTAACTAGGAGTTTTGAGTAATTATTGTCTAAAGTAAAGTATATGATATGAGTGCTTTAATATTAAAAAAGAATTTTAGATTCTCTCTAAAAATATAGAATAGAATTTGTGATGGGTCAAAACTTCATTTACGCAGTTTTCTGTTTTAATGATATTGTTTTGACAAACAAGAACTAATGGATACATTTGGAAAGTCTTCAGAGATTTTTCTGGAGTTTTTAAGGGATTGTGACAAAGAGAAATGGAGAATTTTACGGAATTTCTAAGCACTGAGGACTTTGATTCACTTTGTTAAAGATTTTATTTAATCTTTGCAAATTCTTTGGAGTAGATTTTATGTCTGTGTCACAAGTGAGTAATATGAGATTCAAGAAAATCAAATAATGTATACAATTCATAAACCCAGGGAGTTTTGGAACAGGCATTTCAACCTAGTTCTGCCTGGAGAAAAGTCCAGTATTCTTACTGTAACTAATTTTAAAAGCTACCAAGGGAGGCACAGTTCTGTTTGATGGAGATGATGAGGGGTGTGGTCCCTAGATGTGTTCAAATGTGATGATTTCAAAAGTGATGATGTTTTAATGATTCTGGTTGTAATGAATACTGGACATAGGCTATAAACATGATTATTTTCAAATCTGTCTTCTGAGGAGTACCAATTCTGAGAGACATTAATAGCTATTCCTGGAGGAACATATTCTTTTGTAAAGTAAGCATCAGAAAGAAACATAGCCTATTGTTCTTGTTCTGTATTCACAAATTAATGAACATGTTTACACACATAGTCAGTTTCTATATTATAATGGTCACATGGTTATATTTTTGAATCAGACTACCCAGCTGGAAACTTGGTTCTCCCATTTGTTATCTGGGTGACATTGAGCCTGTTTGGTGACTTGTTTGAAACCCAGTACTTGCCTCATATGGTTGCTCTAAGAAAAATGTCTATAGCAAGCACTTATAAGTACCCCTCACAATATAGTGCTTAATATGTTACTACTCAAGCAATCATACAGTAAAAGGGTCTGATTTAAATTTTTTAATACCCAGGGTAAAAATTCATTGATCTTCTGTACGGCAATAATGAACCCAGAAATCAGGAAAACAATTGTATTCACTAAAGCTTAAAAATACCTAGGAATCAGTTTAGCCAAGGAGGTGAAAGGCCTCTTCAAGGAAAATTAAACAACACAGAAAAGAGAAATTGAAGGAGACACTAGAAGATGGAAAGATCTCTCATATTCATAGATTGGCGGAGTTAATATTGTTAAAATGATCATATTACTAAAAGTCTATTGGCTTCATGTAATTCCCTCTAAAATTTCATGGATATTCTTCGCAAAACTAGAAAAAAAATCCTAAAATTCATATGGAAACACAAAAGGTCCAGGATACCCAAAGTAATTCTAAAGAAAAAAAATCACACTGGAGCCATCATGATACTGAATTTCAAATTATATTACAAAGCCAAGAATAAAGCTGTAACAAAACAGCATGGCACAAAATAGGCACATAGACCAACAGAATAAAAAAAAAGATGCAGAAACAAACTCACACAACTACAGCCATCTGATTTTTGACAAAGGGGCCCAAAACATACATTGGAACAAAGACAGCCTCTTTAACAAAGGATGCTAGAAAAACTTGATATCCATAGAATAAGACTGAAATAGATCTTTATCTCTCATATTGTATAAAAATCAGTACAAACTGGATCAAATCCTAGATAAAGACCTGAAGCTTTGAACCTGCTGGAATAAAGCATAGGAGTAGCACTTAGAATCACAGCACACGCAAAGACTTCCTGAACAAGAAGCACAGTAGCACAGGAAATAATCTCAAGAAGCAATAAATGGGACTATATCAAATTAAATTTTTTGCACAGCAAGGGGAACAACCAACAGAGTGAAGAGATGACCTAGAGAACAAGAGAAAGTCTTTTCCAGCTACTCTGCTGACAGAGGATTAATACATGTAGAGAATATACAAAGAACTATAAAACAACTTAGCACATACATAGAAAAATAGCTCCACCCATAAATAGACAAATGAAGAAACTTACACAAATCAAAACTACACTGAAATCCATCTCACCCTAGTCAGAGTAGTTATCATCAAAACAAAAAGCCCAGAAAGAGAGAGAGAGAGAGAGAACGAAAGAAAGAAAATAAAGGAAGGTTGGTGAGGATGAGGTGAAAAAGGCATTCTTCTACACTGCTAGTAGAAATGAAAATTAGTAAAACCAGCAGGGAGATTCCACAAAAAACTACAAATAGAACTACCAAATGACCCAGCTCTGCTACTCCTTGGTATATACCCGAAGGAGTTAAGATCAGCAGGCTATAGAGATTCTTATATATCCATGTTCACTGGGGCACGATTCACAATACAGGAGATGTGGAACCAGTCTAGGTGTCCTCACACATGAGTGGAGACAGAAAATATCATACATGCACATAATAAAGTATTATTTATCCATAAAGAAGAAAAAGGTCATGTTTTTGGTAGGAAAATGAATGGATCCAGAGATCATGATGTCAAGTGAAATAATCTAGACTTAAAAAGACAAGTATCCCATGTTTTCCTTTATAGATGAAATGGTTTTTAAAAAAGAAAAAGATGGCATGAAGGAAGATGGGAGGCTCTAATTAGACAAAAGGAGAAGAATAAGCATGTGACAGTAAAAAGAGAAGAGATATGATTGAAATGTATAATATACTAGATGCTGTTACACACTAGCTGTGTAACAGCACTTACCTCTATTTACTTGCCTGTGGTCATTTTTTGTACCACACTTATTAATGTTCACTAAATATACTACATAAAATGTTGAAATTATCAGAATACTGTTTAGTATTAGCCCAGTTGGAGATGCAAGTATTCATTGGTTTTTACATCCATGATGCCACTGTATATTTGTTCACTACAGTTTCTTTATCTTGCCAACTACCTTTTCTTCCCTTATACTTGGTAAGCAATAAATAGGACCAGTAAAAATGCAACATTTGTCTAAAATGGGTAGTATCAACGTTATTTCAGAAAATATACTTCTTACGGATGAAGCCTGAAAGTTATTTGTCTATTTCTTTGAATTTAGTGAGAAAGTCTCAGTGCTCTGATTCCATGTTCCCGGCACATTATAAAGAATGTTAGATGTCAGACAACACATTTTTGACGCTCATAAATTATAACTAGAATTAATTTATATCACTATATGTTCTATCCAACATTAATCTAACACACTGCACAAATAATTTTACATTCTTCATCTTGGGGCCACACAGTGCACGTTTGCAAATTTCTGCAGTACAGAAATTTATCATGGAAAATTTCTTCTTGGACCTTTTATAATCATAAAGCAAAAGACAGAATTTAGGAGATTTCTGACAGGAATGGGATATTCCTACTAAATGCCCAGAATAATCTCTCTCTTTAGAAACATCCTATTTTAGTTGCAAACCATCTTTATGAAGTGAACAGAATAATAATATGAAAATGTATCAACTGCACAATTGCCCAACTGTGGAAATAATATAATTATTAGCTCTCCCAAAGTTGAAATTTAAGATACTCAAATATGGTTTTATTATCTTTTTTTGCAAGAATTACAAAGCAATAGCTTATGACATTCTTCTGGTTAGCAGGATAATAACAGAGGAAATAGTAAGAAATCACTATGTTTTTTAAATGGTGGTGATAGCGGAGAGCATCACTAAATATATGAAGTTTAAAGCACAATAGAAATTATGACCCATCCAGAGAATTCCAAATCTGTCAGAGATGTTGACACTTTTCTGTTTTCAGGGCCCTAGGATCATAACAGACAGTAAAGCACACCTCTCCTTGCTATCCGATTAGAGCTAAATAAAGTGCTCAGAACATTAGCTCCATTTTCAAACCCATAGGGTCGCATCTGCTTTTTAACTCTTAGAAATTTATTAAGTCAAAGAGAAATGTGTAGCATTCTTTTCATTTTGAGATTTATGATTATCCCAATATGTTCTTTTATTTTCTTGACATATAAACGAACTAGATGATTCCCTGGATTTAGACCCAGTACTGAGTCAAAGCTGTTTTCACGCACTGTCACAAACACCACATCACACAGCTCCACAGACCTGAAATAGAAAAAACAAAACACATGAACCGTACCTGAGCAATTGCAGAGATCCCCACCCAGAAAATGTTCCTTGATTATGGAGAATTCAACGTGTCACGGTGGTTATGTTCTAATCATCATATCAAACTCCAAAGGTTCAGTGGCTTCAGGTTTGGTTTACAATTCCTGGAAGTTAAACTTTAACTCACCCTGTCGCTTCTGTCCCTACAGCCCTTTGACCAGGTAATGGGTGCCTATAACCAAAACAAAATTTACAAAATTATCTTTCTTTTTGGGTTAAGGAATTAAAATACATGTTGCATTAAAAACCACTGGGGTGAATACTGTTTTGAAGCTATTTTATTGATTTATATATTTAAAATGTATAACTTACTATAATTTGAGTCACTAAGCTTCTGTTTATGTTAGTTCCTTGGTTTATTTGCTAAACCAAAGTGATATCAAGGCTAAAATAATTGAGGAAAATAACTCTTTACTTCATACTTTTTGTAATTGTGTTACATCAAGTGTGGAGTTTTAGGTCAAGTATGAAGATAAATGCTAGCTTATAAAAAATACACAAAGCATTTATATAACCAAATGAGTGGATTAGGGCCAGCTCAGGTTGGGGAAAACATACTTTCTTTTATTCAAACTACTCATTCAGATGTTAAGAGGGAGCCATCTCTGTGAAAGCACATCAGCTATGTACTGAAAGCCAAGGCTATTGTTAATTGCCTGAAATCTCAGTGGTAACTGTGCGTGAAGAATAGAGAGATGATGTATTCAAAGACTGAAACTCTGCATCTGAATTCTCCATTAACAACTCCCATGTTTAGAGAAGATTCTGGAGGGGGAAAAAGAACTCACAGAGAAAGGAAAAGAATGAACAGAAAGAGAAAAATTTCACATGGCTCTAAGAAAATATGCTTTCTCCTTGTGGTCAGTGCAGATGTAATGCCTGGGTCTGGAACAGCGTCACTGGTCCATGAAGGCAGACATCCATGTTTTAGAGGTCAAAACAAAAAACTAAAGGGATTCTGGAGGAGTACTGAGTCTTCAAAGACCAGCTGACAGCACCTATCTTAATTGATATGAATGGTTCCTGTAATAGTTCCAAACGCTTATTTCTGTGGAGAAATGTAGGGCAATGGTGTTGAGTAACACCTACTGAATACTTCTGCATCTCAGTCATTGTTTTAAGCACTTACATATAATCCTCAAAATAATCCTGTGATGTAAGTGCCATATTATCCTAATTTTAAAGACGAGGAAACAAACATGAGACAAACTAAAAAATTTGCTGGAGTTCATATTGCATTTAGCATTGTAAAATTGATATCAGAACCCAGATTTCTAGGCCCCAAACCCAGACGCCAATCACTGTATTAATTAAGAAATAGTCATATAAGAAGTCCAAGTCAAATTGGTTCTGCTTGTATCCTGATTTAGATGACCCAGAATTGGTTTTGTCTGTCATTAATTTAAGAATGAGAAAATAAATGCATTACTTCATTAAAATGATAAAATATCATAGACTGAGTGGCTTCAGTAACACACATTTCTTTTTCACAGTTCTGGAGGCTGGCCATACAAACTTGGGGTGCCAGTCTGACTCCTCCCTTTATAATTCACATATTGCTCTTAAGAGCCAGTGGGAGTAATGAATTTTGTAACGTTATTAAGTTACTGCTTTTTCTTTTCTAAACTAATTTGTTATGGTGATACAAATATATTGACCAGACATAAAGCTAAGTTAATGGGTCAGCCTCTTTTCTGAAGGCTGCTTAGGGAGAAACATCTGTGATCTTGGAACAGAGAAGCTGGGACCCCACTACAATTAACATAGTAAGACTCACTCTACTTTGTAAAAATAAATCAAGTTTAAATAATGCTTGGTAAATATTAATTTTCTGTTAGCTTATTCTACAAACAACTACCAGACATCTACTCTCTGCTAAGAGTTTTGGTAAGTGGATGATTATTTAAAATGGAAGTTGGGGCTATTAGTAGGCTATAGATTCAATAAAGTAGGTTGTATCCAATATATTAAAAATAGAAGAAAAAATATCAAGAGACTTAGAAACGATAAGAACTGTTTATGAGCCTTTTTTTCAAGTACCTGTGTGCACTAATTATGATGTAAAATTTATTTTTTTATCATGGATCATGATTTTGAAAGTTGGCAAAATATATGGTGGTCTTCAGGGATTTAGCAGTTAATAGATTAAGGGTACAAATATCCCTATGGTGAATTCATTGGAGTTGTAATAATATTCCGAAGAAGTAATATTGCCTACCCTAACATAAAAGCATAACAGGCTAACCTAACAGAAAACACAGAGTCTAACTGTGTTTGGTAGACCAATTGATAGCCGAGGAAACATTTTCAGAATGTGAGATCCCTGCACTGAGACCTGAGGGGTATGGTTATGGGACGAGTTCGTTCTAGTTGGTAGGAATAGCACACATGGATACCTTGAGCTGGAATGAGTTTCACAAACTGAAGTAACTATTGAAATACTAGTTGTAAGTAGTAAGAGGACAAAAAAGAAGGAAAGTGACTAGAGTAGGTGGTAGCTCCTGAAGGATCATGCATAAGCATTGCAGTGTTCCATTGTCCTGGGACAATGGGAAGACACTGCAGGATTTGAAGGAGAGCCACAGGATCCATTTGTGTATTCTCTGGATGTGGGTGATGAGTAAATTGCCATGCAATGAAATTGCCTCTCTAGGGATTTGATATTCAGTTCCTGAATTTTTGATAGTTTGATGTTTAATTCACTGCAGGGAGTATTCTAAAGAATGGCAGTACCATGTCAGAAACACAATACAGTGGAAGGCCTAAGGCCTTTTCCTGATTACTGTTTAGAAATGACATTGATCCAGGAGTCAGGACCTTGTGAATCCAGTCCAATACTGTAATTTATAAGACATATACCCTTGAACAAATTTATGCCCCATCTAAATCCCAGTGTCATTACCGTTAAAGAGGAAAATACGTACCTCCTTTACCTATCTCACTGATTACTGACAGGGTCAAATCAATTGGTATACATTAAAATAAAGTAACATTAAAATAATAGATTACTATGTGAATACAAAGTGAAATAATTTCAGAGCAAATTAAATCTACATCTTTCAAGACGATGTCAGTGCAACTTGTTTTTATCTGTGAAATAAAGACTTCTAGGATTTATGCTTCATCATTTGGAGAGTCAGAGCATTTTAAACATAATTCTCAGTGCTATTTTTAATGTATACTTTTGTTTGTTTGTTTTTTGGTACCAGGGATCAAACTCATGACCTTGTGCTTGTTAGATATGTGTGATTTTAGAAGACAGTGGAATTTAATTTAGTGGGTTAGAATCTATACATTCTCAGAATGATGTACCTGTGGATTTTAGGCTTTGGAAAATTCATTGATTTTGTAACTAGGGCCATCTAGTGTTGAGTTGGTTTAACATACACATACCCTTCCTCCACATACACACACTAAATTACATTGAGTTTTCCTAGAACATTTGAATGGCATTTTAATATCATAGAACTGTAAGATTTAATGAGAACTTGAGAATTTATGTAAGCCCAGACTATAAACTATGGCATCAAGTGGGGTGCATTATTGGCCCTGCCCTTTATACCTGAATTTTCCTGCCTCTCAATCTTTTTTTTTTAATTTTAAAGAGAATAAAACCAAGCAAAATAAAACAGATTAAAGCCAATCAAAACAAAGCAATGAAAGTGACTCAGGACTTCAAAACAAGATTATATGGAATTAACAATGGCTACCACCTTCAGAAGGAGATCTCCCATAGATGCTACATTTCATATTGTTATACTCTGAATAGGTGATCAGACTACTGGCTTTAGACCTGCAGTGTCAGTGAAACCCTAAACACTGCAAGCATTAAATTGTATTTTACCTCAATAGCTATCATCGCATCCTGTGTTTCTCTGGATCAGCCGGTCACTCACAGCAGGGTGGGGTGGGGTGGGGTGGGGGAGTATTGGCTCTTCTTGTTTCCCAGCCCCCACACCAGAAGCTGGCATCTGGTTCCCCCACAGAGGCCTGTGCATGGCACTGATTCATAGGGAGGGCTTGCTTCTTGGTGATTTCTTATTCTCTTCCTGCCTCTCAATCTTGACTCCCTTTTATAGGTACTCTTGTGTTTAACAAACGTTCTTCAAATTACTTTTTAGTGTTATCCTATTTCTTTTGTAAATCAGTATTTAGCTCAATAAACCCAAAAGCAAATACTGGTTATTTTGTAAAGCAATTTTAGAAAAGGAAATCTAGTTACCAAACCTGATGTTTTCCTTTAATAATATTAGGAAATATGGATCATTGAAACTTTAATGTTAGCTATGCTTTATTTTGTTTACTGTAAAGAAAATAATTCCAACAGGAAAATCTCCTATAACTTGTAGATAACTTTCTGAGGAGTATCACATAATCTTCCTGTACATAATCATACCGTTTTTCATTTATTTGCTATGTATTGACAAAAAGAAAATACTCTGTTCAAGTGGTAAGGAAAAAAGCAAGAAAAAATACAGTCACGTGACAGGTAAGTATGTTTTGGAAAGCTAAACCATGTGTATGGTGGGCCTGTAGGATTATAATGAAGGTGATGTTGCCTAAGTGATGTCAAACCTGTGATGTAATGTATCAAGTATTTGAGGTGATGCTGCTATAAATAAACATACACCATAACTCAAATAAAGTATAGCACATCCAATTATATAGTACATAATACTTAATTATAAATGACTGTGTTATTTGTTTATGGCATATTTTTATTATCTTAGAGTGTACTGCTTCTACATATTAAAAAAAGTTAACTATAAAACAGCTTCATACAGGTACTTCAGGAGATGGAGGCATTGTTATCATAGGAAGATGATAGCTCCATACATGGTATTGCCTCTTGAGTTAGTTACAAAATACTAGTTTATAATCCTACTACTCCTGGAAATCTTCCAGGAGGACAAAATGTGGAAATGGCGGGGTGATACTGATGACCCTGATCTTGTGTAAGCTTAAGGGGTAAGTTTTTGTCTTAGTTTTCAACAAGAAGTTCTTAAAAAGTAAAAAAAATTAAATAGTAAAAAATTTATAGAATAGGAATATAAAGTAAAAAAAAAAACCTTTCGTACAGCTGTATAAC